ACTTTGGAATTGAGTTCCCAGCAATGAATTCCAGGCACATGTCTGGCCCAAAGTCCTCATGGCAACCATATGGTCTTTGTAACGGTAACTGGCCCCAAACCTAGCCTCCACCCTAAAAGAGTGAACGAGAGGCTTTTGAGGCCAGCGTCTCATTTAGCATCCTGTATCCAACTCTCCGCTCACACCCTGTCTACACCCCACCCTTCTACCTCTTCCCCCAAATCGTTGATTTTATTTAAATTAATTTGATTTTAATTCTTTAATCAATGAAGCAATGATAGCTGAAGATGAACTTAGTATATGTGCGCCTTCTGTCACAAGAAACTTAGCGCAGTCCTGCTAAAACCTTGTCTCTAAGAGGGCTTTTTTGGGGGGTGAGTATTTGTGTGTGTGTGTGTGTGTGTTTGTGCATGCCTGGAAATCATGGTTGACTTCTGGTGACCCCTAGTGGGGCTTGGATGTTTCAGAGAAGTCGTTTGCTATTGCCTGCCTCTGCATCCTGGCCCTGGTATTCCTTGGAGGTCTCCCACATCCAAGTACTTGCCAGGGTCAGCCTTGCTTAGCTTCCGAGATCGGGCTTGCTTGAGCTATGCAGGTCAGGGTTCTAAGTGGGCTTTGAAAGGGGCATATTCATTACATTTATACAACAGTGCATCAAAGGGGGAAAATAAACTTTTCCTACACTGCAGATTATTGGCTGAGAAAGTTACAGAATTCATCATTGATAATCTACTTTTTTTGTCATGCAATAATTTGGGAGCACCTTTGGCAGGTCTCTCTTTAGGCTGGGAAATGACAAGGGTCACATCGCTGGGCGCCCTCTCAAGAATTTCAAGCGCCGTGGGGTGGCTGACTCCTTCCAGGCTCATGCTGTTCACCGATATCAGGCGATCTCCTGTGTAGAGAGATTAATGCAAGGATCAACAACCCAACATTTATAATGCAAGGCTTTATTCAAGAATCTCACCACTGCAGATATGCAGCTTCCCTGCAATTCCAACATGTTGCTGATATTCATAGTTGTATGGCTCCAATTCCTGGTAAACTGCACCTGGACCTCTGGACAACACCCATTTGTAATAGCAAGAGGAATGTAACAGGTGAAGCTACCAGGGTCCAACCTACCTGAGGGACCGCCTTTCCCCGTATGTCCCCTCAAGAGCACTACGGTCAGGGGCCCAAAATTTGCTAGCTATTCCGGGCCCCAAGGAGATCAAACTAGCCGCTACTAGGACCAGGGCTTTTTCGGTGGCGGCTCCTACCTGGTTGAATGAGCTCCCAGGGGAGATCCGGGCCCTGCGGGATCTTATGCAGTTCCACAGGGCCTGCAAGACGGAGCTCTTCCGCCAGGCTTTTGAGTAGGAGCTGCCCCCCTCCCACTATACTACCACCGTTGTGGGCTGGATGAAGCCCTGAGGAAACATCCGAACATGGAAGAAACCCTAAGCCGCCTACTTGGAACTCGGACATACAATCCGTCATCTTTGGATTATGATATCACTGAGCACTTTGTTTATACAGGAATTTTAAGATGCACTATGGTTTTAAATTTATTATGTATATTTTGTTTTTATTATGGCAAGGTTCTGCCTTGCCTATGTAAGCCGCCCTGAGCCTATGGGGAGGGCGGGGTATAAATATGAAAAATAAGTAAATAAATAAATAAAATACTGAATTAGACCATTGGTCATACTGAATCAGACCATTGGAGACCAAGCCCTATGAGGAAAGGCTGAGGGATTTGGAATGTTCAGTTTGGAGCAGAGGAGGTTGAGGGAGGACATGATTGCTCTCTTTAAGTATCTGGCGGGCTGTCACTTAGAGGACGGCAGGGAGCTGTTCCTGTTGGCAGCAGAGGGTAGGACTCTACAACAATGGGTTTAAATTAAGGGCGGTAAGGTACTGGGGGGATATTAGGGGGGGAAATGTTACAGTAAGAGTTGTTCAACAGTGGAATCAGCCGCCTAGGGAGGTGGTGAGTTCCCCCTCCCTGTCAGTGTTTAAGGGAAGTTCTAGGCTGATCCTGCATTGAGCACTAGATATCCTGTATGGCTCCTTCCAACTCTGTGGTTCTGTGATTCCATCAAGGTCCGTACTGTCTACTCAGACTGGCAGCAGCTCTCCAGGGTCTCAGGCAGAGGCCTTTCACATCACCTACTAGCAGGTCCCTTTTAATTGGAGAGGCCAGGGATTGAACTTGGGACCTTCTGCATGCGAAGCAAATACTCTTCTACTGAGCCACAGCCCCTCCCCTAAAATGAATGAATTGGAACTGTTTGTGAAAGGTTTTTTGTGCCACTGGAAGAGAAGTGCACACACGTACAGTCAAGAAAGCCCACCCCCCCAACTCCTCCAGATCATCTTACAGTTTGACATTAGCCCTGTGCAGATTAACCCATCTGCACATTGACTAACCACGCAGGGAGGGACAGTGGGCATAAACTTGCTGGCCCCACCCACCGTATCCAGAGATCACTGAGTTTTGTGCATGGCAACAACTTGGCAATTGTGCGGAGGTGGGGCCAGTGCAGCTGTGCCCGCTCTCCTTCCCTGTGTGGTGAGTCAATATGTGGATGGGTCATCTGCAGCTGCAGATGGCTATCAGAAGCCCCAATTAAACATGCACCCTAGTTCCCAATCCCATAAATTTGCCATTGGTTCCTTATTCCAAGCAAATGTTACTTGTTTAGTATTAAGAGAAATACTCCTGGGCAAGATGAACCACAGCTGCAAAAAGCAGCTTTAATTTACAAGGATGGTATATGCCAGGGATGGCTAAACTTGCTCAACGTAAGGGCCACATAGAATAAACATCAGATATTTGAGAGCCGCAAGTCATGAGCAACTATTACACACCCATTTTTATTGAAAAATACGCAGACTTGCTTTTTATCAACATTAAATGAGACTCCCAAAATAAAAACAAAAGGGGTAAAAACAGGTATTGATAGTTATATTTATTTGTCCAATGATATTTATTTATCCGAGAGAGAGAGAGAGGTGGAAATAAAGAATGAAAGAGGTGGAAAGAGAAAGAGAGAAACAAAGAAAGCAAATAGATGGTGGAAGGAGGGGGGAGGGAAGAAGAGAGAGAAAGGAAGGAAGGAAGGGAGAAAGAGAAAAAGAGAAAGACAGGTGGAAAGAACACTGGCTGGGGAAGGGAAGACCGATCGGGGAAGCATGCCTCCCCTTTGCTTCCTCAGCCACCCTGTCGGGAGCCACACAATATGTGTGAAAGAGCCACATGTGGCTCCCAAGCCGCAGTTTGGCCACCTCTGGTATATGCTAATATTCTGACACATTGTTTTCTTAGTCTCAGAATGCGTTTCTTATTTTGGAGCTCTTCAAGTAACACTCTTACTATCCAGGCATGGGACACAGAACTAGGAAAACAAGCTCTTTAAAAGCTCCTCTTACTCCCTTGCACCAAAGCCTGGGTAAGGGGTATTAAGGACCTTTTTTTAGATCTTGGACTCAAACTCATCCTGTGATCCAAACTGCAGCATGGGATCCACTGCGGTGGTGGAAAAGTGCCATCAAGTCACAGTTGACTTAGGAAGACTCCATGGAATTTCCAAGGCAAGCGATGAAGGTGGTTTCCCATTGCCTGCCTCTGCGTAGCAACCCTTGACTTTCTTGGTGGTCTCCCATCCAAATACTAACCAGGGCTGACCCTGCTTTTAGTTTCCGAGATCTAATGAGACTGGGGTAGCCTGGGCCATCCACATCAGGGCCGGGATCTACTGTACTTGTTTCATTTTGTATCTCTTTATCTTATGAACTCTCTGCCTCTTTCCACCACCTCTTGTCATGCTGCTGGTGTGGGTCCCCCCCTGGTCTTCCCAGAGGACCAAGTGTGGGTCGCAACTTGCCCACTGAAGAGCAGAGTTCTCTCTGGGCAGCTGTCTTCAGGCACTCTTTAGCATGCTTTTCAAATACCATGCCACCTGCGAAACTCTCATGACCACAATCACACTGGTTAACTGCTCCCCCTCAACTACCAGCTATCAAAGTTCAAAAGAACATCCCCAGTTTGACACCAGATCATATGTTCAACACAAAAAATGCAATCAGTGCCACAATTCTCTGGATGTGTGTTCTTCTATAATGAATGCGGCTGTTGTTAGGGGAGAGGGCAGTCCTGTGAGAACAAGGAAAACTGCTGCTCAGAGGGGACCCTATTCAGTTTTGCAATTAATCAAACAACAGAGCCCTGCAGCACCCTTGGGAACACTCCACTACATTTCCTGTAACATTATGCCTTTGATAAAAGCACCGGAGCTGCAGTTTTCCAAGATGAACTGTTGAGCTTTTAAAAATAAAATAATTTTTCCAGTCAACCAATTGAAGATGGCATTGAAAGCACTTCCTTATATTCAACTATTGGCCTGTGTTTTGAACGACAGGTCTGCTCACAGCATTGCATTTCCTAAGCCAAACGTTTCTCAAAGAAATCACCACCAATAAAAAATTTTTTTTTTATCAACCACAATGGACAGGAAGGCATTGAATTACTAATGTGAAAACAGAATTTAGGAATTTCTTTTCCCTGTCACTGTCTTTAGACAAGGTAACTTGAACATATACCTGGTTTCAATGACCCCTGCAGATCAGCTGGTCCTCCAGGTGTTATGGAACGAATAAAAATTCCAAGATCGAGTTTTCCAGTCTTCTCCCCACCAGTGATCTGGAACCCTGTTGAAAACAGCAGTTCAGTAACTCTAAACATTTATAGCAATCGTCTGTAACCTGATTTTCAAAGGTGTAGATTTTATTGCATTTGGCCAAAGTGTAAAGATTGGTTTTTTAAATATATTTTAGGTAAATCCAAGTGATTTTCAAAGGCTGACAAAACAGTAAACTGTGGTTTATAAATTACAGCTTGATCAAGCCCTAGTTAACGGGTGACGTCTCAATTCAGACAGTCCAAATAAACCCAGATTGGGCACCAAACTGAGATTTTGGGAGTTGCAGCTAATTCGTTAACCACAGTCATAATTGTGGTTTTCTGTGACATTTGAATTCACAAACCACAATTTGTTGATGATTATAATCACTCCAGTCCACTTGGCAACAAAGACAGTGGTAGGATGTCCTCACTGATGGGAAGCAGGAGAGGAGGCAAGAAGTACATAAACTGGCTTTATGCACAAACCAGGATTTATTAGTTATGGTGTTTTCCACAAAGGGATGGGCTTTTGTGGTTTCTGCACTCCACTGATGTTATGGTTCCTTAGGCAGCGCAACAGCAACGGAACCTCTACATCGTCTCAATTCAGACAGTCCAAATAAACCCAGATTGGGCACCAAACTGAGATTTTGGGAGTTGCAGCTAATTCGTTAACCACAGTCATAATTGTGGTTTTCTGTGACATTTGAATTCACAAACCACAATTTGTTGATGATTATAATCACTCCAGTCCACTTGGCAACAAAGACAGTGGTAGGATGTCCTCCCTGGTGGGAAGAAGGAGAGGAGGCAAGAAGTACATAAACTGGATTTATGCACAAACCAGGATTTATTAGTTATGGTGTTTTCCACAAAGGGATGGGCTTTTTTGGTTTCTGCACTGCACTGATGCTATGGTTCTTTAGGCAGTGCAACAGCAATGGAACCTCTACATGGGGCTGTGGTTCAGTGGTAGAACATCCGCTTGGCATACAGAAGGTCCCAAGGTTCAATCCTGGCCATCTCCAGTTAAAGGATTTTGCAGCAGGTGACGTGAAAGACCTCTGCCTGAGTCCCTGGAGAGCTGCTGCCAGTCTGAGTAGACAATACTGACCTTGATGGACCAAAGGTCTGAATCAGTATAAGGCAGCTTCATGCGTTCACGGCAGGTTTCCTTCCATTTCCCCCTGCCCCAGTCCCCAACTGCAGCCCCACACACACTCTGCCACTGGAGGGCCTTTTAAAATTGGGAACTGACACATCATTATAATGTTATAACAACCTGTCTTTCAGGTTATCTGAATTTCCAGCTTTCATTTTCTCTCTCACCCCCTTTTTATGGAGATATATGGGGAAATGTATATCTCTGCAGCGAAAGGGAATATATACTTATTTCTTTTTTAATGAATGCTGGGAATTCAGCAAACCTAAACACGGTGATTGTGATAATTTTTTTTAAAAGCCCTCTGGTGGGAGGTCCCTGCACTGTGGGGGACTGGAGCAAGGAAAATGGAATCTATACGGGTAGGACCAGGAAGAACTCGACTTTCCTGTTCATAGGGTACAACCTTGGCTCAGCTGTAGTCTTCCCCAAAACATTGCAGCAAGCAGATTTGGGAAAGATTGCAGGAGATACAGGGAAAACCCAGGAGGCACATGGAAGCATCACAATGATGTGGTGAAACTGGGGGAAAAATTGCTTCCCAATAGCATCCAAACTGTGGCAAATAACCCATGTGTAAAGGACCTACACCTGGCAGGCTACAGCTGAAATCACATTTTAAATATACCACAGTTTACTGAGACAGCTGAATGCAGACCTGCTGTCCCTTGCTTGCCAGAAGCTTCTGGTTACAAAGCCTGTAAAATCATATCCCCAAAAGCCTTATATATGAATTACACACAAATTGTCCCAATGGAGAACTTTCCCTCCCAGGTCAAGGAGGTTAGATTCCAAACTGGGAGACCTGGATTCCAGTCCTAGTGGGGTGGATCCAACCACCCTCTACGTAGCCTCCTTCCAACTTAGGTAGCTCTTCCTACAACCCAAGAGCCATTTGAGTTAGAGGAAGATTATGTAGACCGGAGAACACCTTGAGTCAAAATGAAAGGTGGGGTATACATATTGTAAGAAATGACTGAATGACTCAATGAATGAATTTTGCTCAGTGGAGTAGAAGGATCCACTGCTTTCAAGTTATTGGCTTTCTCCATCCCATCGTGACACAATGCATAATTACTGCATGGAATACACCACCAAAAGACAGGATGTTTAAACAGATTTAAAAATAGCTTAAACCAAGTTATTAAGGGATAGGTCTTGTTTTCACTGGCTGTTTGTCATTATAGCTAACTAGAACCCTCAGATTCAGAAACAGAGATCTCTGTTGCTGGGGGCCAAGAAGGGGATGTCCATGACCTACAGTGCTCTGTTTATGAGTTTCAGGAGAATCTCAGCAGCCATTTTGGGAGCAGAATTAGAATGACCTTAGCCTTGCATTTTAGAGAGAAGAAGAGATTGGATTCATACCCCACTCTTCACTACCTGAAGGTGTCTCAGAGAGGCTTACAATCCCTTTCCCTTCCCCTCCCCACAACAGACACTCTGTGAGGTAGGTGAGGCTGAGAGAGCAGCTCTGAGAGGACTTGTGACTGATCCAAGGTCACACCAGCAGCTGCATGTGGAGCAGTGGGGAATCAAACTTGGTTCTCTCAGATTAGAGTCCATGTTCTTAACCACTACACTAAAATGGGTCTTAGTGAATGATACAGGAATCCAGGGAATAGGCTCCCTCTGATAGGAAGAAGGGATTGTTAACTAGATCAGAATCATGCTGCAAGCTCAGTATTAGTCCGCTTGGGGTTTGGTCTGTTTCAGTTATTTAGGCACCTCAAGTATCGGGCCATTTATTCTACAGAACAAAGGCAAGTTCCTAGTAGACCTCACCCATCATACTGAGTGTGTTTCATCTTTGTTTTGTTTCCATTCACTTAGGACTTTTAAAAACAACACACACTTACCTAAGCCGTACTTTTCATCTTTTTTTAACTTTACCAAATTGATCTCCCTCTCTGGCAATGAAATCACATTCTGTTTTGTTTGTACAACATCTGCTGAGGGGGAAAGAAAAACACTGACTCAGAGATAGGATGGAGTGAATTTCTTTCTAGCATGCTATAACACGACTCAAAGGCTTTTAAGTCAACTTTTGTTTAGACTCACTGTGCAATTAAAAAGAACTCTTCCCGTGATTCAAAAGGGCATTAATGGTAAGCCTAATCACTATTTAGACATTCTAGTCATTTACTAAGATGGAATGCTCTTCTTTTTCCTACTTAAAATAACTTCTTAGGGACGTACAATCAGATAAGCATTTAAAACAACATACAATCCCCCAATCTGAGAAAAGCATGGGGAGGTACTGGATCAAATCTATTCTGAAAATGTACACTGATCTATCAGGAAGTCATAAGAACACAAGAGAAGCCAATGTTGGATCAGACCAATGGCCCATCCAGTCCAGCACTCTGTCACACAGTGGCCAAAAATACCAGGTGCCATCAGAGGGGCCAAGACACTAGAAGCCTTCCCACCATTGCCCTCCCCCCCCAAGCACCATGAATACAGCGCATCACTTGCCCAAGACTGGGTGCCTTCAGACGGGCCATTTAAGCCATCATAAACTGCTCTGGTTCCAACTGGAGCAGTTTGTTCCAGAAGAAACGTGATCGCACTCACCTCCTGACTGCGCAGCACATCGCCATATGCCCGTTCAGATTACCGACGCGCATCAGCGCGCGTCGGCAGTTTTTAATATTTTTTTTTAACATCGTCTCTCCTCAGACAACGAAAGGTGGCCCACTTCGTACATTATATGTAAGAGCCCTCAAGTCGCAAGCAACTTATGGTGCCTCCGGCAAGGGGCTTTCAAGGCAAGAGGGAAGCAGAGGTGGTTTGTTTTTGCCTTCCTCTGCAGAGTCTCCCCATCCAAGAACTGACCCTGCTTAGCTTCCGAGATCTGAGCAGGTCGGGCTACACCATGCTGCCTTCCCACTACTTGGAGGATTGGCTACATTAGGGGTGTGTGGCCTAATATGCAAAGGAGTTCCTGCTACAAAAAGAGCCCTGTAGGGCCCCTGTGGAATGGAGGAGTTGTATGTTGTCCTCACGTCCACCATACAGACGATATATTAGCCACAGTGACTAAAGGGACCCCTTCGCATCCCAGGGCAATAAACCTGCACGTACCAGTGCTAGCAGGCAACATCATGGGAAGGCCTTGGCTCCTATGCTGTCTGTTGCCCCTCCAGGGCACAGGGCTGGCCAACGTGTGGAGCAGGATGCTGGACAAGATGGATCCAGTAGGATTCTTCTTATGTTACGTTCTTATGATGCAACATATAAACTGGCCCTCCTGGTGAATGCCCCCAGTCTATGTTCTTAAAATAAACTCAGAGATGCAGTGAGATCTGAACTGAGCAGTGTCCCCTTCTAAGCTGAGTTAGTGTGAGCCAGCTCAGTTTTTCAGCCTCCAGCTCACAGATTTTTGTCTTAGCTCAGGAAGGATGGCTCCAGAGCAAACTGATTTATGCAGGAGCCAAACGGCTCGCTCACAACTTTAATGCCAGTAGCTCGCAAAGTAGAATTTTTGCTCACAAGACTCCACAGCTTAGAGGGAGTAATGAAATGGAGTACTACCAAAAGGAGGCTCATCCCTTAAGAACATAAGAACATAAGAGATGCCAATGTTGGATCAGGCCAAAGGCCCATCCAGTCCAACACTCTGTGTCTCACAGTGGCCAGAAATACCAGGTGCCATCAGGAGGTCCACCAGTGGGGCCAGGACATTAGAAGCCCTCCCACTGTTGACCCCCCCCAAGCACCAGGAAGACAGAGCATCACTTGCCCCAGAGTCCCTATCTATACCTTGTGGCTAATAGCCACTGATGGACCTCTGCTCCATATGCTTATCTAATTCCCTTTTGAAGCCGTCCATGCTTGTAGCTTGCTATGCTGCAGGAACTCTTTTGGTAATATCTAATTGCCTGGCTCAAACGATTTTTTTTTATAAAAGCAGCAAGAAAGTACAAGCTAATCACCAACAAGCAGTGGACAATTCAGAGACTCCTAGATTTAAATTGGGAAATTTTACTCCAGTGTTTTTTTTTTTTTTTAAAGAAACTGAATCAAACAATGCTGACCTAGAACATAGGCTTGGCCAGTATCTTCGGTGGAGGATGAGTCTGATTCATTTTTCTTTCTTTCTAGGCTGGCATTTAAACCTGCATGAGACTGTAAACTAAAAGAGTGGTTGGAGAAAGAATGGGGGGGGGGAAGTGGAGACGGAGAAAGGGAAAGCAGGAGGGGACAAAGGGGGAAAAAGTGATAATGGTATAAATAAACATGACGCATGAGTGAAAGCTGGTATAAAAAGGCATGCTGCTGTGCGCTAGAACAGGGGTCCCCAACATGGTGCCCACGGGCACCATGGTGCACGCCAAGTGTTTGTAGAAAATGGGTGGGGCCAGGTAGGGCTTTTCCCCAGCAGGGCATCTGACTGGCCACTGGAGATCTGATTGACTGTGCATATTTTTTTTAAAAAAGCATTCCAGTGGCAGCTGTCACCACAGTGTTGGTTTTGTTCTCTCTCTCACTCCTCCTTCCCAGTGTAAAATTACCCTTTAAAATTACCCTTCTTCTCCCCTGCACTTGGGCTTCCTCTCTGCGTGTGCCTGGCTCCGCCTCTCATGGCAGCCATGTTGTGGTTGCTCCCAACCACCTCGTCTCAGAATTCCAAAGGTGCCCGGGGGGCTCAAAAGGCTGAGGACCCTTGCACTAGAAACACACCCATGGAAATACACGGAACATGGAGAAGTTCATTCTACTCGACAGAGAAACAGAGCACAGGGAAATTAATGTGAAATAGCCGGTCATAAAGAGATTTTAGTACAATGGGATGAAAATGAACATGGAGGTTCTACAGAATTACAGCACTTGCTTAAATGCAGTGGTTCCTACGGGACTGACTACCGGCACGGACAGGAGCACCTGCGCATTGAGCTACTGTTGAATGCTCCAGAGCTTCTCGCTCTTTACTAAGAAAAAACTCAGGTGGGATTCTGCGTGATTTTGAATCAACAATGCGTGTGTGTTAAGTGCCGTCAAGTCACTTCTGACTCATGACGACCCTATGAATTAATGACCTCCAAAACGTTCTATCGTTCAGCCATTCTCAGGTCTTGCAAACTGAAGCCTGTGGCTTCCTTGACTGAGTCAATCTATTTCATGTTGGGTCTGTCTGCCTCTTTTCCTGCTGCCTTCAACTTTCCCCAGCATTATTGTCTTTTCCGGTGACTCTCGTCTTCTCATCACGTGACCAAAGTATAATAGCCTCAGGTTAGTCATTTTGCCAGCCATTTAATATTGTTTAACTGCTCCCGATGTCCACTGTAGCACATTGGAAAGCGTTTTGAATGTAGAACGTAAAAACAACAACAACAACAACAAAACTTGAAGAAGGGGACTTCTGCTTTCAGATCCGTGGCAATGCCATTCTAGAACAGTATATGCATACATACATACACTCTAACCCAGGGGTCGTTTCGTAGAAAAAGAGCTAGGGGAACTCATTAGCATAACTCATTAGCATATGCCACACTCCCTGACATCACCGGAAGTGTGTCATAAGTCCACACACCCTGACATCACCGGAAGTGTGTCATAAGGCCACACACCCTGCCCCCAACGGTCCCGGCCGCCGCCGGCCTTGTAGCTCCACTGCCGAGCCCCATGAGGGGCCCGGCGGTGGACCTGCAAGGCCGGCAGGAGTGCAAGGAACCCCCGCGAAGGCCCTCCCTGGCCCCAGGCAGGCAGGGGTGGGGAGAGGCAGTGAGGAAGCAACTTACCCTCCCTCTTCTCCTGCCTCCTCCTGGCTGAATGAGGGCCGGAAGCGGGGCGGCCAGAAGCAGGGGGCGGGGCTTTGTCATGTGCCCCGCCCCCCGTACCTCACCCGGGGGAACTGCGATCCCCCCCGAAATGACCTCTGCTCTAACCTGAGCTTCTTATTAGTACAAAGATAGCTATAGAACCAATTTAAATGCTACAGGCTTTCTGATGAAGTTGCAGAAAAACAATTCCCTGTGATGGTGTTAAAAATGGTGGATGGAATGGAAAGCTTCTTATCCTATGTCCTGGTCCATATATACACATAGCATCTCTATACCAGCATCTATGGTAGGGTTGCAAACAGTGTCCCCTCTAAGGTGAGTTAGTGTGAGCTAGCTCACAGGTTTTTTTAGCCTCCAGCTCACACATTTTTGTCTTTGCTCATTAAGGAGGGCTCCAGAGCAAACTGATTTATGCAGGAGCCAAACGGCTCGCTCACAACTTTAATGCCAGTAGCTCACAAAGTAGACGTTTTGCTCACAAGACTCCACAGCTTAGAGGGAACATTGGTTGCAAACAGCCTGGAGGGGAAAAAAAATCAGTCACAGGGGCTTAATGGGAGGTTATTTTCCAGGTGATGTTATTTACGCCCATGCCACGACAAGGTTCAAAAGCTTCAGCAGCCCATTTCCACACATTAAACCTCTCTTAAAGGGTCAGGGCATATTTTCCCCCAGGTCTGTTGACAATCCTGATCGTGGGTGACCTTTGGCAATTTGGAGGCACAGCCTATGTTAAAACCAGGTGGTGATGGAAAGAGTCATCAAGGTGCGGCCAACTTATGGCGACCCCGTGGGGTTTCCAAGGCAAGAGATGTTCAGAGGTGGTTTGCCATTGCCTGCCTCTTCATAGTGACCCTAGACTTCCCTGGGGGTCTCCCATCCTAAGACTAACCAGGGCTGACCCTGCTTAGCTTCCGAGATCTGACAAGATAAAGGCTAGCCTGGGCCATCCAGGTCAGGGCTTGAAGCAGAAAGTAGGTTTTAAACACGACACTCCCTGCACACATCCTCCACTGGGAGGTGCTTTTTGTGTGGCTTACGGATGGGCACTGCAACACGGGAATGCGCCCATAGCGAGGCCATGAGAAAGATTCTTACTTATTTAGCTTTGCTGCTCCAGATACTGATTCGACATCAGGTTTTGGCACCGGTTGGAAGAGCTTCCCCATCAATTCTTCCATCCTCCGCGAAGAAGAGTCTGCGGCCCCAATGACGTTTTTCCGAAAAGGGCTGACCGAGATCTGACTCTGGCTCAGATCGTGGAAGGATTTGCTCATGATCTTGGGTCTCTCTTCCCATGACTGCTTCTCGTTCTTGTCTTTGGAGGAACCCTGGAGGGGCTGGAAGAGGGACAACTCGGAGCAGGACAGTCTCTTCAGGATCTCTGCTTGAACCGACAGTGGCCGGACGGCCAGGCGGCTCAGTGTGTTGCTGGCCAGGCTGCCTGTGCTGATGGCCCGGCCCATGTTAAACCCTTTCACAGAGTCCGTGTGGAGGTTGAGGCTCCTAAACTCTTTCTGCAGGCAAAGGAGATTGGTTTATGCAGATTATAAAGAGAGTGAACTACCTTCCTTGAAGAGGAGGGACTGTGGCTCAGTGGTAGAGCATCTACTTGGCATACAGAAGGCCCCAGGTTCAATCCCTGGCATCTCCAATAAAGTTCAGGTTGCAGGTGATGTGAAAGGCCTCAGCCTGAGACCCTGGAGTGCAATGGCCAGTCTGAGTAAACAATACTGACTCTGATAGACCAAGGGTTTGGTTCAGTATAAAGGAAGTTTCATTTGTTCATGAAACCTAGAAATAATTTACTGCATCAGCGACAACAATGATTCCATCTAAACAAATCCACTAATTTTGCTGCTCCACGTGGAGGGTCTGTGAACATGGAGTCGCAAAATAACGCACCTCTGTGAGGCTTTGCACAGGAAAGCAGCTGAGGGGGGAAGGCAGGAACCCTTCCTCCTCCCACGCTGACATTCTGAGCCCGTTTGTCCCCCTGCAGCTTCTATGCGACGGCTGGGAAGACGAATCCCCAGATCCAACTCTTTAAAAACCATAACATGTCATTTAGCTCAGAGAGAGGAACTTTCTCAAAGGTCATCCAATGTGCTTCATGGCTGAGGGGGATCTGAAGCTGGGTCTCTCAGGTGATGGTCAGATTTGCTAACTACTGCACTACGCTGGCTTTCTCTGCAGAAGCATAAGAGAAGCCATGTTGGATCAGGCCAACAGCCCATCCAGTCCCACACTCTGTGTCACACAGTGGCCAAAACCCAGGTGCCATCAGGGGGTCCACCAGCGGGGCATGCCTACATTGTGCACAAAGAATGAGGCACCATTGACCTACATGGGGCAATGGCCAAATGCCATGGACAACATCTCCCCCCCTTCCTCTAGGGTAAGCAGATTTAACCGTTACACCGACACATTGCTGTTACATCTACCACTATATATACACGTTTATACAGAATCAAACTCCTGGTCCATCAAATCTGTATTGTCTACTCAGACTGGCAGCGGCTCTGTAGGGTCTCGGGCAGGGGTCTTTCATATCACCTACTGCCAGACTCTTTAAACTGGAGAAGCCAAGGATTGAACCTGAGACCTTCTGCACGATGACCAGACCCTCTACCACCAAGGGTGGCCAAACTTGCTTAACTTAACAGCCACACAGAATAAGCAACAGATGTTTGAGAGCCGTAAGACATAAGCAAATAGTACACACACGTTTTTATTGGAAAATATGCAAATTTGCTTTATATTAACATTAAGTTAGATTGTGTGAAAGAGCCGCATTCAGCTCCCAAGATGCAGTTTGGCCACCCCTGCTCTACCACCGAGCCACAGCCCCTACCCACGTTGTTTTCAGTAGACTTATCAGAGATAAGTAGGGTTAGATCAACACCTTATGGTCCATCCACACTGCAATCCTCTGTCAGCCACCCAGTTCAAGGACTACGAACAAGCACAGCAGAGGCAACCTCAGACTGCCATTTCAAGTAATTTTTATCTCACTGTAGGTTTGCAGAAACTCTGCATCAGGACACCACTCGTGTGTAGCAGAAAGGATCCCCTCAAAATCAACTTTCGGTGGCATTACTCAGGCATGTGCCGATGAATGTACTGCTCATGCGAGTGCTTATCTGGAACCCGATTTTCCCCAAGTCTCCTCTCCTCATTCCTCTAAGCCTTGAAGATGAAAAACATATCAGAGATGAAAGAAGTTGTGAAAGGAGTGAAGGAGACGTTATCCCAAGGATAACAAGTCTGAGAGGAGAGCCAAATGATTTATCTGCCCCCTTACATACAGAAACAAACTCTCCGGGAAGAGAAGTCTACTCTGCATAAGCAGAGCAGTGTCAGGAGTAAAAGAATTTGAGCAAGATCACAGCTCTCCTACTATGAAGAGGTAACTGGTATTTGAAGCCTGGGAAGAGGAGCTGCAAGTCCCCCACGACAACAAGATACTGCTCAAGGCACAAAAGCTAGCCGGAAGCAGTTCTGGGAACAGGGGTTAAAGAGGCGCATGGCTGCCCCTGAAAGCAGCAGCCCTCTTCCTCTTCCTCCCTTGTAACACATAGTAAGTAACCAGGGGTCATTTCATAGAAAAAGAGGTGCAGGAGCTCATTAGCATAACTTATTAGCATAACTTATTTGCATATGCCACACCCCCTGACATCACCGGAAGTGTGTCAGAAGGCAACACCCACCGCTCAGGCTCCACTGGACTGTTTTGGATTGCTAGCTATTTGGGGGGGGAAATATGCATATCTGTCCTCGCAGAGGAGGGAGAGCTTGTATCTGAATGAAACTTGGTCTTAAAGGTGCCACTGGACTCTTTTGGATTGCTAGCTATGGGAGGGGGGAAATGCACACACCTTTTGCTTCTTATTCTGTTTACCTTGTTTGTTGTCAAAACAGAGGGAGAGCTCGTACCTGTGCCACTTGACTCTTTTGCATTGCTAGCTATGGGGGGGGGGGAACACACAGATCTGCCCTCACAGAGGAGGGAGAGCATGTACCTGAAGGTGGGCCGGGGGGGGGCCTCTGCAACTTACCTGGCTGCTTCTGGCTCCTCGTGGCCTGACTGAGGGCTGCTGGGAGCAGGGGGTGGGGCTTGTTGCATGTGCATGCCCCCTGGGCTCCTTACTGCCGGAGCTCCGCTCCTGTGCGCTCCCACAGGAAATGACCCCTGTAAATAACTACACATGTATTTCACCACTGTACATCTAGTTTTCTTGCCCTTGCTCCACTTCTCTGGCTGCAATTTGTGGGAGTTGGGGAAAACAAGATGGTCGATCAAATCACATCACACATTTTTTCCTTTGTCTGTCTTGCAAGGGACAGGGGCGGGGAGAAACACAGGCCTGACATTTTGAGTGACTGCCATGAACACCTTCTATAGCCTTCTGCCTTCTATCATTCCCAGTGCGAATTAGCATTCAATTTAAACTTCAGCACATTTTCACAATGCAAGTTAGGACAATGAAGCTGCTGACGTCCATAGAACAGGGGTCCCCAACACGGAGCCCAGCGGCACCGTGATGCCCACCAAGGGTATTATTTAGAAACTAGACAGGGCCATGTGGGGCTGTTGCCTCCAGCAGGGTTTCTGATTGGCTGTGCAGATTAAAAGGCATCCTGTTGAACAGAGCTTCTGTCCGAAATGTTAAAGAGCCACTATCACTGGAGAAGACCCTGATGCTGGGAAAGATTGAAGGTCAAAGAAGACGGGGACGGCAAAGGATGAGATGGTTAGACAGTGTCATAGATGCAACGAGCATGAAACTGAGCAAACTTCAGAGGATGGCGGAAGACCGGAAGGCCTGGCGTGATCTGGTCCATGGGGTCGCGAAGAGTCGGACTCGACTGTGCGACTGAACAACAAATCAGAGTTATACGTAGGTTTGCTCTCTGACAGTTAGTGGTTGGCTCCGCCTCCTGCGGCAGCCATTTTGCAGTTGCGCCAACCACCCAGTGTCAGAATTCCAAAGGCGTCCGCAGGCTCAAAAAGGTCGGAGTCCCCTGCCGTAGAACAACCTGTGGAAGCAGAAGCTGTGACTGTCCGTCAGTCCTTACCAATCTCTTGAGTATCCTGGTTACTTTGCCTGGCTCTCATCTGTAGCTGGAATTTATGTTGCGAAGAGCACAGCTGCAGCAAGTACTGACAGGTCTTGCTCGTGTCGGTTTGGAACGCATGCTTTATTCCATCAGATGTGTTCTGCAGAGTGACTTTCCTCTTCTGTAACGTGAAAAGCATATAAAGAGGGTTCTGTTTGTTTGTTTGTTTTTTAAATAAGGACTAGCCTTCCAGCTTGGAACACACTCTCATCAATATTCCTAATACAGGTAAACCAAACAATGGCTTAGATGGACTTTAAGAAGTATTGAGTATATCGATCCCTATGAAACTAATTAAAAAACAAAACAAAATTAGAACTCATCTAGTGGCTATGTACTATAAACCAAAATGTTACTTTTTTCATTATTCAGCACATGAAGTCAGAAAGAACTGAATAATAACGGAGGATGGGAAGTGCCACCAAGTTGCAGCCAAACCGTGGTGGCTCCACAGGGTCAACAAGGCAAGAGAAGAAAGAGTTGGGCTTGCCATTGCCTGCCTCTGTGTAGCAGCTCTGGAATTGCTTGGTGGTCTCCCATCCAGGTATTAACCACAGCTGACCCTGCTTAGCTTCAAAGATCTGATGAGATCAGGCTAGCCTAGTCCATCAAGGTCAGAGCTTAGTAACAACACCCTGATTCAAAGGCTTGTGTCCTTCTGGGGGGGT